AGCAGGGGTCTCACCCAGGAGGGACCAAGGACGAGTGGCTGAAGGGAGGAGCAGTGGGCTGGGAGGGGGTGGGCGGGTACTCATGGTCACATGAACTCGCCCCCCCCCCCCACTGAACAACAGACGTGACTGGTGACTGTTGGGAGACTCGCTGACAGGCTGTGCGCCCTGGGGGTCTCAGGAGGGACTCTCAGGAATGTGCAGGGAGGGATGGAGTCAGCAGGTAGTGACCGATGGAGAAGGTCAGCATCCTTATCAGTTCCCCAAAGGAGAACTCTGTGAGCCTGGGCCTTGCAGCTGCCCCTGCTGTGGTTTCCTCTCCCATGCCCCACAGTGGGGATCAGAGGTCCAGGCCTCCACTAAGGCCCTGCCCTCACACCTCTTCTCCAGAAGGAAAAGACCAGAGGGGGTACCCTCAGGACCCTCCTGCTACCACCAGGGCAAGTCCCCATCTCCTGAGCAGGTCAGATGTCCCCTGGGCTCTCGGTCTGACCACCTGGGCCATATAGGACTGCATGCCACCCAGGACCTACTAGTGGGCTCCTGGCACCTTCTGATTCACCCCTGCATGGTGGCCCTCATAGGTGTCACTGTTGAGCCTCCCCAAACCCAGGAAAGCCCCCAGCACCACCACCCCCCACTCGAATGTGGAAGGAGGCCCAAGCAGTACGTTTACCTCCCTTGAACCTGCTCCCTTCTGCCTTCTGCCAGGTACCCATGACCTGCCCTCAGCACAGCCACATGCCCCCTGACCTCTTGGGATCAGAGACTCACTGACCACTCTGATCCCAGGCCCTCAGAAGCCCTCTTCGTGCCCCTCTCGTCCTCCCCTCCCCCACCCCAGGCTTCAGAATAGCTGTCTGCACTCTGGTTGGGAAGCCCCAAGGCCATCTCCCAGCCCTGGAGCTGTTGCTGTCTGTCCAGCTCAGGTCCCTCTGCGGGTAATCAAGCTGCCAAAGTTGAGCTGACCTGCGGGAGGAGGGCAGGGGCTCAGAGGATGGCTGGTGGACCTTTGCCTGGCCCCAGGGCCCAGGGGTGTGGAGCTGTTGGGGCCCCAGCCCTGGCCGACTTGGCTAGAAACTCCTCTTTGTGGGAGGTCTCTGCGTGAATCACTCCTCAGGCACAGGCACAAATGCAGGAAATCGCCATTCTATTAAACTCTATTTTCTCCCACTGAGGGGAAAGTCTGTCACACGAAGGTCATTGTTCCCCGGGCTCCCGCTTTCCGGGTGGGCTTGGTCTGTGATGGGGCTTGTGCGTTCCTGGGGCTCCTGGCTGAGCTGTTTCCCTTCGAGACCCGGGGCGCCTAGAGGTTGAGAATGTGCGGCCTTGGTCAAGCCACCAGCCCCAGGGTGACCCGGGCAGTCAGACCCACAAGGCGGTGCACGTCTTGGGAGCCTGATTCTGTTCTGTGTTGGGGCCCCAGTGAGGTCACAGCTGGGGCTCAGCATGCCACTCACAGCTCTCTGCCTGCCTCTGGACCTTAGGGGTCTGTCCCACACCCTGCTCCACTCTCCTCTTCCCTCTCCAGGAGGGTCACCCCAACCGACTCTGAACCCCCTTCCAGACCTGGCGAGGGGACTCCCACCAGGTGTTGTCCTGCTGCCCCAGATCAGCTTGGCTCTGGCATGCATGGGCCCATCTGTCCTAGGGGGACCCTGCCATGGTTGGGGGACAAGGCTAGGTGGGGCAGGAAGTCCAGCCTATGCTGGGCTCTGGCAGCAATGGAGGGGGGCAGGCAGTCCAAACCAGTACTATGTTGTCAAAATACATACTTAATAGGACACTCAACAGTTAAAAATAAAAGATGGAGGTCCCACCAGTGTGGCTCAGTGGTTGAGCATCAACCTATGAACCAGAAGGTCAATGTTCGATTCTGGTCAGGGCACATGCCAGGGTTGCAGGCTTGATCCCCAGTAGGGGGCATGCAGGAGGCAGCCAATTAATGACTCTCTCATCACTGATGTTTCTATCTCTCCCTCTCCCTTCGTCTCTCTGCAATTAATAAAAACATATTTAAAAAATTAAAAATATAATGGTTGGAGAACTTTTAATCAAAGGAAAGCAGGGGTAGTCATTTTAATGAACAAGAAAATAGATTTTTAAAATAATAGTGTCATGAAGGACAAAGAGGGACACAAATACTTTTGACAAGAATAGCAGATAAAAAATATAACACATATACAACTAAAAACATAGCCTCAGAAGACACAAAGCAACAAATGACAGCTGGCCCAACAACTGTAGTGGAAATGCTCCAGCTTCTCTCTCAGACCCCAACAGCTCAAGCATCCACAAGCAAAGATGTGCACAGTTTGGATGATGAAGCAACAAATAGAAAGATACACATTCTTTTCTAGTCCAAATGGGACATTCTCCAAATCAACACGTGTTAAGTCCCAAAAGAGGCCTCATAATGGCTTGAGATGCGAAGCAGCCACACTGGAAGTAAGCAGACAATGAAGCAATGCCTACAGAGTGCTGGAGTAAAGTGATTTCCAACCATGAATTCTATACCCAGCCCAGCCAGCATTCATGTATGAGGGTGGAGCAAAGATGTGCTCAGACAGACAAGGTGTTACAATGTATCTCTGCCTCCATAGACAGATGCACTCTGTCTCCAGAAGCTACTGCAGGATGTGCTCCATTAAAATGAGAGTGTGAGTCAAGGAAGAGAGAGGCCTGGCATGCGGACTCCCAGCATCTAACACAAGGGCCAGGGGGAAGGGAGATGTCAGCAGGACAACTGAGCCTGTGTGTGTCAGTCATACAGATTAGACAGTGTGACACAAGAGATGGCACCTCTGGGGTAGCTGAGGATGTGGCCTCCCCAGGAGTATCTGCTTTGACTCCTTCCTGACCTATGTTGGACTGAGAGAGGGCCCTGGTGGGTTTAGAAGCAGAAATACAGAGCCCTGCCAGATGCCTGGACTGTGGGAGTCTTGTATGTCCCTAGAGCGTCTGTGTCCCTGCCCACTGATGGCCCCAGAATGGCTCCTAGAAACTCTCAGGGAGGCCGAGGTCAGATCTCTCCTGAGGAGCTCAGCTGAGCAGTCTGTCAAAACAAGAGGGAATGTAGCTTGCGGGTACACACTGAATATGAAGAACCATCCAGGGGATGGTTCTCCATGTTAAGAAGAAGGACTTTGTTGGGAGTAGCCCCCGCCCCCCCTCCTCCCTGTGGCTTCCAGGTACTAGAAATGTGCTGCTTCATGATCTGGCTTCTGCGCGTCTGCTTTCCTGTTACTCTTTAAACTACAATATAGAAACATATCTTATAGATTCTTCTGCACGTGGGACGAATTTCACATTTAAGCATCTGAGAATCAGTGGTGCTCCTTCACCCTGGCAACTCCTCAGCAGGACCTGGTGGGAGGTAGGGTGGCATCACCACAGCAGCGAAACAATGCAGGGCGCAGGGCAGCCTGCACGGGGCTCCTAGGGAGGTGATCTCGGACCCACTGGCATGAGGAAAGGGGAGCGGTTTCTCTCTGCAAATTGGCCCAGAAGTCCCCATTGTGAGGATCAGTGACCATTCACCTCCAAGGTCTGGGCCAAGCGCTGGGATGCTTAGCACACACCATGGAAGTGACTGGTGGGTGCAGAGTGGATGTAGGAGAGGTGTCCCCACCTCAGCGTCCCAGCCCAGGAGGGCTCAGCTTTTCTGCACATATATGTACACACACATGCACACAGACCCAACTATGCACACACAGCTATCTGTGCACACACACATCCGTGTACACACATACCTATGAGCACACACATCCATGCACACACTCACCTGTGCGCACACACCTGTGCACACACACACCTGTTCACACACACGCACATGTCCTTTTCCCTCTCTCCCAGTATGTGCACCGGGACCTCGGCCACACCAAGGCTGGAGTGCTTCCTTGTGAGCAAGCACACTTTGTAGCACATTAAGTTCATTCAGACCCTGGTTGGTTTGCTCAATGGTTAGAGTGTTGGCCCCCAAACCAAGGGGTCAAGCAGTGATGTGTCTCTCACATCGATGTTTCTCTCTCCCCCCACCCTGCTCCCTCCATCCCTTCCTTCCACTCTCTCTAAAAATCAGTGGAAAAAATATCAAGTGAGGATTAACAACAACAAAAAAGAAGTGTATTCTGCTTGGATTTCCTTCCACGTGGAATTTTCACCATCGCCATTGCTGTTTCCTCCAGTCCATGGGTCTGGAAGAAGCGGAGTGAGGGAGGCCGCACTCTGCCTGACAGTCCAGCTGGGACATGGCCTCCAGCTCCCTGAGCACAGACTTGGGGCCACTCAGCCTTCAGGACCCTGTGAGTTGGAGCAGGAACCAGACCAGAGCCTGGGACCGAAGAGGAAGCCTGAAAGCTGACCCCTGGCCCCTTGCAGGTCTGGGGTCCTCAGGAAGACCTGAGCTTGGAGCAGGAGGCAGGTCCACAGACACTCCATCTGTGTGGCTCAGGCCAGAGGTACCCAAGGGCCCCATTACTGAAACACAGAGCCCCATGAAGGGGCTGGTTTGGTTTCCTCCGTCTTTAAGTGAGTCATGTCAGAAACTCCCTGACCAGTATCCTCACCTCTCTGGACCTGTGGAGGAAGCCAATGTCCACCTGCCCGGTTGCTGAGCATTGCCCAAGGGCCAACTGTGTGGCCAGACCGGTCTGTTCACCATCATCTGTCGATGGACAGGATGGACAGTGCTGCTGGTGCGAGTCTCAGTTCTGCATCTGTTTTCCATCCTTGGGGGTTACATGGGGTGGTGGAATTCTATCCTGAGCTGTCTAAGGCCCTGCCAGCCTGTTTCCCACAGGGGTGGCACCTTGCTGGTATACTATAGCACATAAGTCCTGCCACCTGCACTGCCAGGCCCTCGGCTTGCATTATTACAAAAATGTTACTTCCCCTGAACGTGAAGAAAGCGATGCTCTGTGGAGGTGCTTCCTGAGCAGCCCTGTGTGCTGCTGGGTCTGGCCGCCACTGTGCAAACTCTGAGCAGTCCTCACTTCCGCATGACCACAGGCAGGAGCACCCCGGGCCCCCTGGGCCTGGAGGAAGAAGCCTGCCTGTCCTGGCGGTTGGGTGGTGCTGGGGGGAGCTTCTGGGATTGATTCTCTGGTGGGTGGTCTTTCCAGCCACAAGGACGCCAGGGCAAGGCTGGGAAGCACAAGCCCCTACAGATAGGGGGAGATAACAGATAGTCTCCCATGACAACCCCTATGAACCATGCTTCCTGGTGCCCCCACCCTTGTGAAGTCCCCTCCCCTGGAATCTGGGGTGGCCCAGGACTTTGTGTGACTTGCAGAACACAGTGGAAATGACAGTGCTTGACTTCCCAGGCTGGGACCTAAGGCTGGCCTAGTGGCTGTGTGCTGGGGGAGCTGGCTGCCGTGGAAGAATCCACTGCTGAGACCGCCATGCTGTGGGGAAGCCCAAGCCAGCCACACTGGAGAGGCCACGCACAGTGACACGGCCAGCCAGCCTTGCTGCTCCAGCCATGAAACTGAGGCCCCAGGCCCAGGGGAAGAAGCCAAGCTGGACATGCATCCCGCGGAGCCTTCAGAAGATTCCAGCCCCAACTGCCCCTGATCCCAGCTGCAGAGAAACCCGGGAAAGCTGCCCAGCCAGGCCAGGGCCACCACCCAGGGACGGGAAAAGGCAATGAATGGTGCTGAGCCACTAAATTGTTTTCTTTAACATGGCAATAGACAATATAGGTGTACATTTCTTTCATTGTTTTGTTTTGTTTGTTAACCCTTACCCGAGGATATTTTTCCATTGCTTTTTTCAGAGAGAGAATGGGAAGGAGGGAGGTGGGGGGAGAGAGAAACATCGATGTGAGAGACACATCCATTGGTGGCCTCCGGCACACGCCCCAGCTGGGAAGAAGGAACCTGCAACCCAGGTATGTGCCCTTGACCTCGAATGGAACCCAGGGCCCTTTGGTCCCCTGTCGGAGGGTCTAACCACTGAGCCAAACCGGTCAGGGCTCTTTCTTTTTTTTTTTTTTAAAGTTAGTTGAAAAAGTAGCACTTTAACTCATGGCATTTGGTTTATACACTGTGTTGATTTTGTTGTTCCTCAGTAGTTTTTTAAAAAGGGTTTTGTTTATTTTTAGAGAGAGAGGGAGGGAGAGAGAAACATGGCTTGGAGCCTGCAGCCCAGGCCTGGGCCCTGACTGGGACGCACACCGGCCACCTGGCCACCTTTCGGTGCAGGGGAGGCCGCCCACCAACCGAGCCACAGCAGCCAGACCGCGTCCGAGGAGATTTCGAGGCCACGTGGGCAGCCCCACCTGGGGCCATAGTTCAGGGCAGGTGAAGGGTTCGCTTCCCCCACCCACCACTTGAACCTGCCACTGGGAACGCGGTGGCCCCATCTGGAGGGGGTCCTTTGGGATCCACACCCAAGGAAGGA